TTTGGATTTTTGTTCTATATGCATGGCATGAAAAGCATGAGCTACAACATATACTGCATTATATAAATTGTAACTGTGGTCAGTCATGCTCATTTCATAAAAAGCACCCGGAAGATTCTCCAGTTTCTCCCTCAGAGTGCAAATATCACCATTTTTCTCATTCACCAGAGGACTGGGAAAAACACATTCAAATGCATTCACCCACACATCTTTGATAAAGCCATCTTCTTTTGATAAGAAATGGTCCCTTTTCTGAACAAATTGCTGAAATCCTGGAACTTCATTGGAGTAAACTGAAAAGGAGAGGGCACAGTGGATGTCTTGAATATCCCAGCTTCTTTGGTAAATTACTGTTGCAAGATCCATTTGGGAGGGTATGACACACGCTTTACCTTTTGGCTCCATAGACAATGGTTCCATTTTAGGAAGATATAGCAACAACCTCAGATGTAAAAGTGTTGTTTCATAGACAATTACTATATTAGCTTTACTTTTCATAGTGAGATAAAATGTTTCTATTAGCCAATCCAATTCCTCAAATAAGTTACTGATATGTAATTGATTAATTATTTTTAAAAAGGCCATGAAGAGGAAAAGTTGAAAAGGTCATCTGCACAAATCTACCACCATCGTCTTCCCTCACAAGTATCCCAACCCAGATCCATTTGAAATACACAAGCAGCTGAAGAAGTCCTTGGTACATCACATTTTCTTCTTGGACCATATGGTAGAAGGAAAATGATTCACTTTGATTCAGCATCTCTGGATGGGTCCCATATATTAGCTATAAGAGTAAAAAAAAATGAATAGGAGCTTAGAGAAAGAGAAAGAAGAAATATTTGACTCTGCATCTTAACTAGCAGGTTGATAGATCAACAAAGAGTGTGTCAACTTTGAATGAGCCAATGTAATAAAAATCAATAGAACGGTGGAAGAAGGAAAAAATATCCTGGATTGGGAATGTTAGAAAAGGTTGTTTCATCTGCAAAAGCATAAACATTCTAAGTAAAAAGCTAGAATTTCCAAAAATGACTATCCACTCAAAATGGTGTCAGGATGGTTTCATAGCAAAGACCATCCATGTGGAGGGTCAACACTGATGTCACTCAGTGGGGCATGGTTTTGCATGCTGGCTGCATCCCATGGAAGGGGTTTTTGCTTTTTTGCATGGCCCAGTTGCTGGCATGCTGCGACTCAGTGCCAATCCACAGACCAGGGGTTGGGGACTCCTGATCTACAACATACAATGTAAGAACCGCAACAAACACTGTGTTGGACAAACAGGCAGAAGACTGGCAGAACTCATCCATGAACACCAACTGGAAGTCAAAAGGCATGAAGAAAATACTTTAATTTCACAACTTATAAACAGATTTAACAATAGTTTCAACTGGGAAAATGTGACAATCCTGGACTAGCACCTCTCCACCAATAATCAGCACTCAAATCAACATAGATTAACTCCAAGGTCACGTTCAGACCAACAATCAAGTAAGCAATACCTCAATCAAAAAACTGAAAGAGCTATTAGTAAACAACCCAACCAAAGAATCCCTAAACCACCCCCACCCATCTGGACAGGAAAGACACCAGACTATAAACTGATAGCAAACATCACTCCTTACTAGCCCTGATGATGGTACTTACTTAGAGTAATGAAACATTTGCAAGAAAACAAGCAAGGATAAAAATAAAAGTGTAGAAACGAAAAAGAAGAAAAAAGTAAATTTTATAGAAAAGGTTATTTTTCCCATTTGAGCACATCTTTCTTAATTGCATTCCGTATCTTAACATAATTATTGTGATACAACATACTTTCCATATTAGTCAAAATAACTTTGAAATTCAAACTTCTCAGTTTTGAAACCAGTTTTCTTCATCAAAGTATCCTGATATACTCATATTTTTAACCAATATCTTTGTTTTCTATAAAAATACCACCATTCGTATTGGTCCTGCAAGATCCATACCAAATCATCAGCAAAGGCTCTCATTTTAAAAAAAAAAAACATGTTTTGTATTTAAACACATTTTTTTTTTCCATTTGGACTAATACCTGTATTTAAAACATCAAAGACTTAAAACTTCAACAAAGGAGACAGAAGACATGTACAACCTTATTTTATCCTCTTCTGAATATCACAAAGTTTAATCAAATTTACAATTCAAGTCTTCAGAGATGTATACATCAACTTGATTCCATGAAGAAAACTATCACCAAAATCCATATCTTTCATGACACTAATATAGACTCTTGACTATATTGATTGTTCTACTACTGCTCAAAACCCATATCTTCTGAAATAGCTCTTATCTAATTTTCCATTTAGTCTTCTTTGTATTCATTTTGCAGTGATTGAAAAAGTGAGGAGATCTTCTTACAAGGCTCAGGTCCACTATTGCTGAACCATGTGGCCCTACTTGCTTTTTCTTTCTGCACTCAATGAGGAAGCCTGAAGAGGAGCCTTAGTATCTGAGTGAAGTCTTTTGCAGCCAGAAAATTTTGCCCACTGTCTCAATTTTTATGTGGCAATATCTTCTTCTTTGCTATCTTCCAATTTACTGCAGTTCCACTATTGGCCCCATTGCCTCTATTTCTCCAGCAGGCCCAACTGCTCTACCTACTGTAGCCTATAGGCCAGCTTGATTAGCACTTTCTTCTTTGATGCTAACTGCTTTTCTATGACTGAGCTACTGCTGGCCTTTGCTGTTTTTATCTGTAAGTAACTTTGGCATTCCTTCCAGAGAATTTATTACAGAATGGTATCCCATCCTTTTAATTATGAACATATTAATGACCCCAAGCTTTGGAAATTTAATTTGCACTTAAATTTGTCATTATGCGTATGGGTCCCAGGTATGAAGATAATGCAACAGAATTATTTTTTCCTCATTTTTTCCTGGTTCCAAATGTATTCTTTCAATTTAAGATTTAAATAATAATAATCCCAATTATCTGCTTACCAACAACTTTCAGATTGCTAACTAGGGTGGTAGCTGATGCAGTACAAAAAGCATCTAGTTGAAAATGATCTCTTTCCACCGGAGCAGAAAGGAAAACGCCCCAATAGCAGAAGAGCAAAAGATCAACTCATAATAGATAAAATGATCTTGGAAAACTGCAAGAAAAGAAAGACCAACCTGAATGTGGCATGGATTGACTACAAAAAGACATTTGACTCTCTGCCACATGACTGGATAATCAAGTGCCTAGAAATAACAGGACTCAATAGAAACATCAGAAAATTTGTGCAAACATCAATGGCACAATGGAAGGCGCAGTTACAGATCAATGGTGAGAGACTGGGAGAGATTAACATCAAGACACGAACATTTCAAGGAGATTATAAGGCCGCTTTTTACAATTGACTAATGGCGAATTTGTCAATGCCAATGGTGTTCAAGTGGTGTTCCAGTTGTTTTGGGATTGCACCCAAGGCATCTATTACTATTGGTACTACTTGCAGGAAATGCTATACCATTTCAGACAAATGGCTGTCCAGACTTCTTAAAAACTTCCAGTCTTGGAGATTCACAGTTTCTGGAGGCAGGTTGTTCCACTGATTAATTGTTCTCACTATCAGGAAATTTCTCCTTAGTTCTAGGTTGTTTCTCTCTTTGGTTAGTTTCCATCTGTTGCTTCATCTTGCTTTCAAGTGCTTTGGAAAATAGCTTGATTCCCTCTTATTGTGGCAGCCCCTGAGATATTGGAACACTGCTATCATGTCACCCCTCATCCTTCTCTTCATTAAACTAGACATACTCAATTCCAACAACTGTTCCTTATGTTTTAGCCTCCACTTACCTAATCATCTTTGTTGTTCTTCCCTGTACTCTTTCTGGTGTCTCAACATTTTTTTTACAACTGGATGCAGTATTCCAGGTGTAGCTTTACCAAAGCATTGTAGAGTGGTATTAACACTTCATGTGATCTTTATTCTATCCCTCTGTTAATGCAGCCAAGCACTGGGTTGGCTTTTTTGGCAGCTGCAGCACACTGGTGGCTCATATTTAAGTGATTGTCCACTAGTGTTCCAAGATCCCCTTACAGTTAGTACTATTGAGCAAGGTACCACCTATACCAGGGGTGTCAAACTGCCGGCCCTCGGGCCAGATGTGTCATCCAGAAGCTGCACCCACTCCATTGCTGGCAATGGCAAAACCATCCCGATACATTATGTGACTTCACGTGATGACGCGAGTTTGACATGTCTGACCTACCTGTGCATATACTTGTGCATTTGGTTTTTCTTGCCTAAATGTAGAATCTTACTTTTTTACCATTGAATTTTATTTTGTTAGCTAGCGCCCAATGTACAAGTTTGTCAAGATCCTTTTATACCTTAAGCCTATCTTCTGAAGTGTTGGCTATTCCTGCCAGGTTGGTGTTTTCTGCAAATTTGATGAGTTCCCCATCTATCCCCTCATCCAAATCATTGACAAAAATGTTGAGGAGCACTGGACCCAGAACAGAGTCCTGGGGCACCCCACTTCCCTCCATGTAGATGCAGTTCCATTGAGGACATGCTGAGTATGGCCAGTCAGCCAGCTACAAATCCATTAGAAAGTTCTCTTTGTGATTCTTTAAGTAGATCCCTTAGGATTAATTATAGAATCATAGCAACACTCTGGAGCCAAATATGTAGGTGAATTTATCTGGGTAGCCATGTTCAAGAGCACCATTTAAAGTGTAGAGGCTGCAAAGAATGCTTTTTGAGCTTTTGATAAATGAATGAGGAAGAATCCATTAGCTTACAGGTTGGGAGGGGACACTCCTACTGTATATAGAGCACATAATTATTGGTGTCCTATATAGCAGGCAATGTACAATACAACACACATACATACAGACTTAAGAATTTCAATCTTAAAATTTTTCACCAGATTTTCTGTTTTATGGTGTATATATATATATATATATATATATATATATATATATATATATATATATATATAATGGAAAATTCAAGTATTAATAAAGAGAGAAATAAAGAAAAGGGTTATTTTATGTGCTTAGTACTATTTTTTCTTTTAATAAGCTGCTCTCTATTGTTTAGCTCTGGCCTAACAATGATTATATAACATTTTGGGAAATATATGCAGCCCAGCAACCCAGCACTAGAGGCCAAAATGGAGAAAACCTCCACAGCCACCAAATATTTGCCTTTGGTGCTCAGGTAGGATGGAACAAAGGAGAGCCACACACTGCAGAAGATCAGCATGCTGAATGTGAGACATTTGGCCTCATTGAAACTGCTGGGGAGCTTCCTACAGAAAAAAGCTACTGTGAAACTGGCAGATGCCAGAAAGCCCATGTAACCCAGGACACAGTAGAACATGATAGCTGAACCTTCATTGCACTGCAGTATGATTGCCTCAATTTCTGAATGGGTGTCAACATCAGGGAAAGGGGGAAATGTGATCAGCCACAATGTACAGATGCCTGTTTGAATCAGGGAACAAGAAATAACAATGGAGGTGGCCAAGCCCCTTCCCATCCATTTCCTCATCCTGGATCCAGGCTTGGTGGCCATGAAAGCCAGAACCACAGTGATGGTTTTTGCCAGCACAGAAGACACAGCAATTGAGAAGATGATTCCAAAACTAATTTGTCGGAAGAGACATATTATATTGCCAGGTACAACAAGGAACTGCAGTGAGGAAAGGAAGCAGAGGAGGAGGGAGATGAGTAGAACATAGGTGAGATTTCGGTTATTGGCCTTAACAATGGGAGTATGGTGATACTTCAAAAATGTTGCCAGCACCACCATTGTGCAGAAAGAAAAAAGGAGTGCCAGAAAGGTTAGACATATTCCCATTGGTTCTTCATAGGATAAGAAAGATATTTTCTTGGGAAGACATGAATCTTTGTCCTTGCTTGGATATTGGTCTTCTGAGCATTCAGAACAATCTTGCATGTCTGGAATTTAAACATACAATTTTTATGTGGTCATTATATTATTATTTTTATTCATTGTTTATTCATTTTTTTCAAATAACAAAATAATAGAAAAAAGGAGCAAAACAGATAAAGAGATACAGATAGAAATAGATATATAATCAACCACATGCATAACAATCTCCCTTTAAAAAATGAATATAATGCAACAGAACAAACATGGTCAAGGTATTATTATGTACTTTGGGATCCTAGGCCTATCTTATTTTCTACTGTTGCAATTATGACTCAGTAAGGAGAAGTTAGAATAGTATTTCTTCTCTTAAAAGACCTTTTTCATGGTTATTACTGTGTTCTTATGTGTGTTCTCTTAACAGATGCTTTTTTAATAATTGTTACTGTGTGCCTTGCATTTTGTCTATCTATCTAGTTCGATTGGTCTATTTTTCTCTAGACCAGGGGTGTCAAACTCAATTTCATTGAGGACACATCACCATTATGGTTGCCCTCAAAGGGCCAGGTAGATGTGGCTGGGTAGGCATTCCTAGGTAGGTATGGCTAGGAGGGTATGGCTGGGTGGATATGGTTGGGTGGGCATGGTCATTCATGCCAAGGGACTCCAAGCAAGGCTGGGATGGGGGATCTGGAGATCTTCAGTAGATGAAGGTGAGACCAAGGTAAGTGATAAAGTCTCATCTACCATAGGAGCCTTGCTGTCTTCTGGACATGAGACTAAAAGGAAGGTCAACTGCCCACCTGCTGGATGGCAGACAAGACTTAGCCCATGGGATGAAAGCCAGGCAGATTGGAGTATAGAGTGTCATGGGCCAAGTATCAGTGGGGGCTGGCTCCAGGTTGTTCTCTCCACCATGTGACAGGGCCAGAGAGGGGAATGTGGCACTATATGGTGAATGGGGAGACAGGAACGCAGGGTGGCACAAACTAAGCATTGGCATGGGTTGGTTCCAGGTCATCCTATCCACTGTGTGACAGGACCAAAGAGGGGAATGCAGCACTCATGATGGATGGGGAGACAGGATCATGTGACAGCATGAGACATCTATGGAGAAGGATGGCCTGAGCAGAGAGGAGGATGGGTACAAACCTGTCCAGAGGAGAATCCAGGTGCCTGGTTAGTGCTGATGGCCTCTGGGCTGCCTAGAGGCTTGGGCAGTAGAGGGCAAGTGCCCAATCTGACCAAACTCCCAAGCACTGGGACCCTGAAGCCCAGCCCAACCCCACTTCCCTGAGGGGGCACCCATCTGCACTTACTTCCTCCTCAACCTGCTGCTGCTGATGGTGCCGGTGACACTGTGGGATGAAGCAAGGCAAGACCATGTGAGGCAAGGCCAAGAGAGGCCAAGCAAGGAGAGGGAAAGCCGGGTGAGGCAGGGGAGGGAGAGGAGAGATGAGGCAAGGTGAGGAGAGGCTGGGCAAGGCAAGGCCAGGTATGGTGAGGTGAGGCTGGGCAAGTTGAGGCCAGCAAAATGGGGCTGAGTGAGGAGAGGAGAGGCCAGGCAAGGCAAGGCCAGGAGAGGAGAGTGAAGCTGGGTGTGGTGAGGTGAGGCCAGGTGAAGAGAGGCAAGGCTGGGTGAGGAGAGGCAAGGCCGGGCAAGGTAGGGCTGGGAGAGAAGAGGCAAGGCAAGACTGGGTGTGGCAAGGCAAGTTCCAGAAAAGTGGGGCCAAGCAAGGCGATGAGGATGCATCATTTAATTTGAGTATATAGTATTGTCATGGGGTTAATTTGTTTTATTTATTTATCTATTCTACTATCTATCTATCTATCTATCTATCTATCTATCTATCATCTATCATCTATCATCTATCATAAATTAAACCACCCATCTCTCTCAAAGATATCAGAATAGTGTACAATAAAACATCAAAATATAAAACAATATATAAAAATTAAAATGTTAAAATTAAAATTTTGAGTTATTTTTTAAAGGAGGTAAGAATACTTAACTTTAAAGATTGCTTGATCAAGCAAAGGGAGGGCTTTCACAGTATTAACCAAATTTGTGTCTGTGTGTTCCTTTAGACTCCATATGCAAGCCCACAGAGCCATGTTTTAACTCCTTTTTGAAAGGCCAGGAGAATGGGATTCTGTCGCAGGTGCTCACCACCCCACTTGCATGAGCATTCACAGCCTTACTGATGTGAACAATGGGTGTTTGTACATGTGCATGAGCACCCACCTGCCTTTAACTCATCCACAAAATCATCCCTTCTTTCCCCCTTGCCCTGCTCTGGGTTGCCAACCACAAAAGTTTGGGAAACTCTGGTATAGAAGGGCCCACCCATAGCTACTCAATTTTAGCATGGTTTAGTCGAAGTTTGTTGTTCTCCAAAAGCCTCCAGGTACCACAAAAGAACATCCATTGTATCACTCACTTCACCCAGGACATACATACCTACATGTAAATGTTCAAAAAGAGTGGAGTGAGCCCTGAGCCCTGTGGCAATCCATAAAGTGCTGTAAGCTGAACCTCTTGCTCCCTATTATCACTGATTTGGCCCAGCCTTGGAGAAAAGAGATGAACAGGCACAACACTGTATCACTCACCTCCAACTCCATAAGCAGTCCAAAAGGATACCATGTTCAATAGTATTGAAAACTGCCAAGAGATCAAGAAGAGCAAGGATGGATATATTGCCTTCATCCTACTCCTACCAGAGATTATCCATTAGTGTGACCACTGCAGTTTTAGTACCATATCCAGGGAAAACCTGACTGAAAAGGGTTCAGATAATTCATTTCTTCCAGGATCTTCTGGAGTTGCAACACCACCACCTTCTCAACCATCTTTCCCAAGAGGGGGAGGTGAAAGTTTGGACGAAAATTGTCCAGAATGGTAAGGCCCAGTGATATTTAGTATACTCTGAGTCACAAAGTATTATCTTGTATAAGACAGGTGGACAAATAACTTTCTAAAAAAAAACCCACCATAAAATAAAATAAAGAGATCATAGGATAAAATCAAATGAGAGTTCATATTCAAAAGAGCTTATAACGGATAATTTAATACAAAATTAAAGAAAAGAGAGAAAAGAAACCAACATCATTAGTGATGTTTTAATCAATCTCTTGATTGCTTGAATTATTTTTTAAATCAGCTAAAGATTGTTTTATAGAAAGAGTTATACTAAAGTCTAAATAGATCAATAAACAAATCTTTCCTACTGTGCTATCCAGGCTAAATAGTGGATAGTGCTGTGCTATCCAGGCTAAATTCTGGTGTAAATTTACAATCTTAAGATGATTTATGCTCATATCACTTCTTACCCTTCTGACTTGAAATTTTCTCTTCAGGACATGGAAAACAATCATAGCAGCAAAATGGCTTCCACTCTTGCTTTTGTTTGAAATAACCTGGAAGGCAGCTCTCAGTACATACCGAAACAGGTAGGGTCTGCCCAATAAGGAAAGTAAGAAGGAAAATATTAGCATTCAATTTGAAAAAAGAGATGAAAAAACATGATTTGATTAATATTTAGCAAATCAAGAATGCAAATTGTAATGATTTTTTTCTCATCCATATTATCATCAAAGCTAATCAAGAATGAATATGTTTCCTGTTCTAGTAATATTATAACTATAAGCATAAACACAAATATAAATGCAATCTTTTTTTCTAAATATAGAAATATTTTGGGTTCAAAAATTAAATCAATAGCACTCATCAAAACCTAAGTGTCTTTTTAGTCACTTAACATATTTTATAAAACAAAATGTAATGCAATGAACTGGATTATAATAAAAACTTTTTTAAAGAGGCAATTTACATAGGTGAAGATAATAGAGTTAAAAGAGGGAGTATTGAAAAGATATCACATACTTTGAAATGTAGTGCAGTGGAAGCCTTTCCCATTAGTGCAACTTCAAAAACAAAGCATCACAACCAAATATGTGGAACAGTGTCTCTGGTCTCAAACAGAATTTTCCATATTACTCTTTCTTTTTACCCTACCCTGAGCTTTCAACTAATGGCAAATCCAAAACTTGAATTGGTACTTTTCCACGAGAAACATCTATCCTCTTGTCCATCCAGGTCATGACTGTCCTCTCCGGCTGGTTAAACAGGGAGTTGTTACAGGACATTATTATTCATGTAGGAATTATTATTGCAGGACAATCTGGCCATCATAAACAACAGTCAAAAAGTGAAGCTTCTGAAAAGCTTTTCTCAGGATATTATGATGCTTCAATCCAACTTTAGTTAGAAGAAAGAGAGAACCAATACTAGAGGCAACCTTATGGGAGCAGCCACTGGGTTCATCTCTCCTGCTGACAGACATATACTGGATCTATCGACTCAGGAAGCAATGTACCAAATCTACATGGACAAGCCAGGAGCATACGTCTGTTATATGCACCTTCTTAATTATGGAATAAATAATCACATTTTTAATTACAGGATATATATTTTATTCAGTTTATTAACAATTGTTTTAATGTGGCTTACTTAAAAATCTTAATTTACATTTTTCTATTATGTCTAATAACATAGATAATTATCAGAATACAAAACTAAAATACAGTATCTACCAATGATCTTACATTACAAGAGGCTTCATCAAGCATGCTCAGCACTGAATCTGGACCAACTCATTTTGGCAGACCATCAGCTCTTTTTCAAATTCTTATTATATTTTGTTCTTCTAAACTTTTAATTGTTGTTCAGATAAATCATCAACAACTATTTCCTGTTAAACTTTATCTTAAATATCAATATACTTTATTCCTAAAATAGCTCTCTCTGAACATTATTTCAAATAACCCTAACCCTAACCCTAACTAAAAACTAAAAATTGTATTTGTTAAAAAAAGTCTATAACCTTATTTTAATGAAATATTTTCATTAGTTTAATGAAAAGAAGGACTAGTTTAGTTTAATGAAAAGAAGGACTAGGGGTGACATGATAGCAGTGCTCCAATATCTCAGGAGTTGCCATAAAGAAGAGGGAGTCAAGCTATTCTCCAAAGCAGCTGAGGGCAGGACAAGAAGCAATGGATGGAAACTAATCAAAGAGAGAAGCAACCTAGAATTGAGGAGAAATTTCTTGACAGTGAGAACAATTAGGTGGCGCAGCAGTTAGGAGTGCAGTACTGCCGGCCACTTTAGCTGACTGTGTTCAGCAGGTCAGCGGTTCAAATCTCACCGGCTCAAGGTTGACTCAGCCTTCCATCCTTCCAAGGTAGGTAAAATGAGGACCCAGATTGTTGGGGGCAATGTGTATATATATATATACATTGCTTACTGGTGTACACCGCTTAGAGAGTGCTTGCACTTAAAGCGGTATATAAGTCTCATAAATAAATAAATAAATAAATAAATAAATAAATAATCAGTGGAACAACCCATGTCCAGAAGTTGTGAATGCTCCAACACTGGGAGTTTTTAAGAAGAGATTGGACAACCATTTGTCTGAAATGGTATAGGGATTCCTATCTGAGCAGGGGGTTGGACTAGAACATCTCCAAGGTCCCTTCCAACTCTCTATTCTATTCTATTCTATTCTATTCTATCCTATTCTATTCTGTTCATTTTCATGTTAAATGATTTTTTTTATTACTGTCACAGTCATGCAAGAAAAAGATTCAGAATCTACTTGGTTGAAAGTGTTTTCTGTGTTCATTGGCATTGAGCTGTTTTTGGACATCATTAATTAAGGACTTACTTGATTGAAACTGCTGTGCCAAGTAATAGCTTCATCACGAATGGTGAATTTTTCCTCTTCAACCCAGGGATCCAGCTTCCCCACTTTTACTCGATTGAAGGATTGATTTGGGAATGTGACCCAGTTTATAATATCAAATCCAACTATCAATTCCCTCCTCTGATTGAACAGAATCCTATCCCCAGCACTGTTATTAAATGAGACTCTCTTCAGGAATTGGTGGAGCTTAATATCAATGAAGATCCAAAAATTGGTAAGGAAACAGAATTTAGTAATGAATTTATTTATTTTTTTCATATCAACTGCAGACGTTGTAATTCAGCATTTGATGCATCTGTTTAGTCCAATTATAGTATATCTTAAATACTCACTGACAAAGCTCCATACTCCTTATTTCCCCATAAAAGCAACACTTTCTTCTGTGTCATTTCAGTTTAAAATAATAATAATGTTGATGTAGTCATAATGTTCTATTACTAAAAAAATTCTACCAGCTATAAAATCCCAAGTATAAAATTAATTCAGTTGAGCAGCTGTAAGAAGCATTAGAATATAATTTCCTGCCTATGTGGGGGAGAGATTATTTGAAAACTGAAGAAAAAGCAACCAAATTGCCCTAGAGTACTGTATATAGAATTGTACTTACTTTCTAAAAAATATTAGGTTGCTAACAGGTCAGTTTTATTTTAATTTAATTTAATCATGGCATCCAAAGTTCCAATGAATCTCTCCACTAAGCCATTATTCAATAATTATAGTGGAGAACTGAAGTGAGATTTTTATTTATTTGTAATCTGCTTTTATTATTTTAAAAAATAACTTAAGGCAGCAAACCTATCCATCATACTGTTCTCCTCCTATTTTTCCCAAAACAACAAACCTGAAAGGTATGTTAGATTGAGAGAAAGAGTGACTGTCCCAAATTCATCCTGCTCACTAAGGTGGGACTTGATCTCATAGTCTCAACTAGAATCAGGCATGTCAAACTAACAGCTCATGGGCCAGATGAGTCATGTACAGGCCACACCCACCCTAGCTCTGCAAAGGCAAAAAAGTTGTGATATGTGACACGTATGTGATGTCATCAAGTTTGACACCCATGCACTAGATCAAACTAGCTCCCATTCATAATCCATATTATGAATAGCCATAGTTTCCAACGACTCATGACAAGACAGGAGTAGTTGAATCCATCAAGATTGAAATCAGTAAATTTCTCTGCATAATAAGATTTTTAATATTCTGATTTTCCTGCATTTAACCTCTGTAGTTTATAGCTTACTTCTTCTGGAAGTATACACTTCTATTGACAAGGTGTATTGGGCTGTATAAATCCAAAGTGTCTCCTTCTACTCTCTGGATTGAATATCCTGTTTTGAAGGCAATCAGTATAAAATATATCTTCTAATTGTTCTGGTTGTTTATACCCCATGGAGAGCATTACAGGATTTTCCATATAAAGGCCACTTCTTTTCCATATCAACCCAATAAAACAAATTACCTTCCTTTTGATATGATCATGTATCAAAATTATATGTTTAAAATTTTGTAGGAATACAATGCTGCATTTTTAACTGATTAAGAAGCCTAATTATTTGTAAAGAATATTGGTTAGATTGTAAAATGAAAACAAAGTAGTAATCTGAAAATCAACATAACAATGCATGAAGCAGTACATGAACCTGAGTGGAAGCTATGTTAGTTTGAAGGATAGAAAGCTATGAAATGATGTAGTTGGTGTAAACCAGATTTACCTATATCCCTCCTTTGTATTATATCTCATCCCTTCATTATTTTGACTCACTATGATTTATAACAAAAAAGAGTACCTTGTGTATGTATGAAGGTGTGTGTATACTGTATATAGAGGGGAAAAAAGCAGAACACAAAGACTTACCTGCCATGGCTGTTGCTTTTGAATATTCTGTTTCCTTCCATTCAGCATTCCATTGGATTTTTGTTCAATCTGCATGTCATGTAAAGCTTGAGCTACAATATAAACTGCATTATATATATTGTAACTATGACCAGTCATGCTCATTTCAAAAAGAGCCCCAGGAAGGTCCTCCAATTTCTCCTTCAGAGTACAAATGTTACTATCTTTCTCATTCATCGAGGGACTGGGAAAGGAACAGTAAAATGCATGTACCCACACATCTTTGATAAAGCCATCTTCTTTTGATAAGAAAGGGTCTCTTCCCTGAACAAATTGCTGAAATCCTGGAATTTCATTGGAGTAAACTGAAAAGGAAAGAGTACCAAAGATATCTTGAATATCCCAGGTCCTTTGGTAAATCATTGTTGCAAGATCCATTTGGGAGGGAACGACCCACACTTTACCTTTCGGTTCCATAGACAGCGATTCAATTTTAGGAAGATTTAGCAACAATCTCAGATGCAGAAGGGTTATTTCATAAACTATTACTGCATTGGCTTTACTTTTCATAGTGAGATAAAATGTATCCACTAGCCACTCCAGGTCCATGAATATGTTTTTCATGTGTAATTGTTTAATTATTTTTAGAAAGGCAATGCAAATACCATGAAGAGGAAATGATGAAAGGATCATCCTTACAAATCTTTCATCGTCATCATCCCTCACAAAGATCCCAACCCAGATCCATTTAAAATGCACAAGCAGCTGAAGAAGTCCTTCATATACCATACTTTCATGTGGGACCATATGATAGAAGGAAAAAGATTTGCTTTGATCTGGTACCTCTGGGTGGGATCCATATATAAACTACAGGAATAAGAAAACCAATAGGAACTTAGTGAAATCAAAGAAATGAAGAAATGGTTAATAAAATGGCAATTATACCAAAGCTACTCTAATTTGGGAAGTCAATCCAAAGCATCTAGCAAATTTTAGTATCTATCAGAATTTATTTTACCAGCCTTATTGCTTTCTAATCTTTGTATGATAGATTTGTGGTACTCCCATTTTATGTTACTGATGATACTATTTTTTTAGAGACATGCTTGAATTTCAGATTGGTTCACTGGGGTTCTCAGAATAATGGTTTTCAATGAAGTTTTTGAAATACAGTCTTGATTGATGAGTGGATTGATTGATTGATCAATCAATTGATAAATTAAAGATTAGCTTGCTTTCAATTGAAAATCATCTTCAAGAGCAACTCTCAATAATGTCACTTACAACAGTGTTTCTCAACCTTGACAATTTTAAGGCATGTGGACTTCAACTCCCAGAATTCCACAGCCAGCATTGCTGGCTGTGGAATTCTGGGAGTTGAAGTCCACATGCCTTAAAATTGTCAAGGTTGAGAAACACTGACTTACAAGAAAGAAAGTGAGAAGCTTCTCATGGTAAAGCTCCTAAATCAGAAGATCATTTTCTAGTTCTCTTTGCCTAAAGGTCATATTTCTTTCAAGATGATTTATAAGTTCTCAATCACCTCACTTGGAGGAAAAAGAAGTGAAAAGCCTCCTACAATAAAGCTTAAAGATTCCCGAAAAATAATGTCTAGCTCTCCTTGGATGACGATCATATTTCTTTCAATGTGATTTATAATCTGTTCATTCAGTGCACAGTAAATATTTCAGTTGAAAATAATTTGGGATATCAATAAAGTCCCTTGCCAATAAACAACTGTCCTTTTTTCTATTTTCATTACAATAGTCTTCTAAACTTCATGTTCCTTTCATAAGATCCTTACAACCAGCCTATTATTTTTTTATTAATCATTCATTATCTGCATTGTCTCAAGTTCTAATAAATTGGCTTTTTAGATGGTTTATTAATTAAGGAAAACTAAGTACATGTGAAGCACACACTGGTATGTTTCCAACTTACACAAATGTAAAAAGTTCATTAAAATCCTGATGACATCATAAGGTCTCACAACTCACCACACAACTTACTTGTGGAAGTTTGTAGATCCTCAAGATATCTGCCATGTCAATGGAGATTTCAGGATAAATAGCACCAATGACTGAGACCAAGTTGTTCTGGATGCCACACTTATAATTGGGGATCATTCTCTTCAAAGGTGAAAATAGTTCCATTGTGGCATGATAAATCCATTTTCTACCATAGCTGTCAAAAATATTGATGCCCAAGGTAACATTAGGCAATATCTGAGGGTTTTCATTGATCTCTTTCACAGCAAATACCAAAGCCAAAATATGCTGATAAAATTTAGTCTGGACTCTGCAATAATGATTGTAGGTGATAAAAGGAACATATACCTAGCAGAAAACATTGCAACAAATATGTGGTCTATCCAATTTTTATGTTTTTGAAATCAATAATCCCTGTATCATGCATTGCATAACAAGTGTGCATTTGGTTTAGCTCTGTACAGTTTTGAAGAAAATATACAAACATCTCAGTATCTTAAATGCTCTTTAATTTTAACCAATATTTGAAAGTTTTTCTAATCTGAAAAAATCAGTAAAATGTTACAGAACAGTATTTTATTTCTAGGCACACCTAGTTGCAAGAATAGATTTCTGAATTTATTCAGAAAAAATCAAATTAATAAACTAAAGAAGGAATTAAAAAGAAAATCATAATTACAATTATGTAAATGACCTAAAACTTCAGTGTACCCAGAAAATATTCCTATACAAACATGGATTATTTTGAGATCCTCTTTATTTTTTATCTTGCTGAAAGTTGGTTCAATGAATAGCAGGATTTCTGTGGTACATTGTCAGGATCTTCTAATCTTCAATTAGCAAAACTAAGTAGTTCCTTCTATTTTTTTTAAAAAAAAACCAAGGGAATTAATCAGGACTAAAACATTTGAACTAGATAATGTGTGTGTGTGTGTGTGTATGTGTGTGTGTGTGTATCACAAATACAAATATAATCTAACAACTCTTACACCACATGGGTGGGAAAAACTTACATGACTTCATCAAAAAATGAAAGATAGGGATCTTCCATGAAGTTTTCAAGTTCTATAGGAATGAACATAAGAGAAGTGATGCCACCAATGATGGGATCACCAGATTGGAAATAGTTGTGAGAAATAGGACGGGGATCACCAATAATGCAGTTTCTCATGTCATTTTTTGAAACCATAAGAGATAAAACCAAGAGGAAAATTATCATGGTCATTGTGCCAAATGTACATCTAGAACAGAGCTTGTCTAATAATGGTTAAGCGCCTCCAAAAATAGACTAGTGTCGTTGCCTTACAACCCTACCATCACACTATCACAATTGTTGTGAAACCTTGAATTCACCTTATCAGGAATTATCTTGACAGGAATAATTTGTGTTTAGACTAAAGCTACAGATCAGTACAGCCAGGAAATATTGGTAGCATTCCTAAGGTCTGAGTCCTTGTTGGTTATAGGTTTGCCATAAGGACTTCAGCAATAGGCAGAAATAATAATGGTATTTTTGATAATTACAGATGGTGGAAAGACCTGTTGTTAGGTTTCCATTTCTCTGTGGTATGTGAAGAATCTGTTTTCTCACGTATAGATACACATGTTTGCTAGCAATTAAAAAATCAACAAAGTGAGTGTCACTTTTGAATGAGGCAATGTTACAGAAACTGAATCCTATCTCCAGCATTGTTGTTAGAATAGAATGGAATAGAGCTGGAAGGGACCTTAGAAGTCTTCTAGTCCAGCCAGCCCCCTGCTTAAGCAGAAGAACCTATACCATCTCAGATAAATGACTGTTCAGTCTCTTCTTAAAAACTTCCAGTGATGGAGCACCCACAATTTCTGAGAGCAAGCTGTTTCATTGGTTAATTGTCCTCACTGTTAACGCACTTTCTCCTTAATTCCAGGTTGCTTCTCTCTTTGATCAGTTTCCAACCATTGTTTCTTGTCCTGCCCTCTGGTGCTTTGGAGAATAATTTGACCCCCTCTTCTTTGTGGCAGCCTCTCAAATATTGGAATATTGCTATCATGTCATCCCTATTTCATCTTTTCTTTAGACTACCCAAACCCAAGTTCTGCAGCCATTCTTCATATGTTTTAGTCTCCAGGCCTTGGACCATCTTAATTGCTCTTCTCTGAACTTTTTCCATCTAACATCTTTTTTTTTAGTATGGTGACCAACATTAATTTCAGTATTCCAGGTGTGGTCTCACTAAGGAAGGGGTGTCAAACTGCCAGCCCACAGGCCGGAAGCATCACGCGGAAGCCATGCCCACCCCATTGCCGGCAATGGCAAAACAGTCCCAATACGTCGCACGACGTCACATGATGTCACAAGTTTGACATATCTACACTAGGGTTTTATAATATGGTACTAATATTTTGCTTGATCTTGAATCTATGCCTCTGTTTATACAACCCAGGATTGTATTAGCTTTTTTAGCTGCTGCTGTACATTGCTGGCTCATAGTCAAGTGATCGTCCACTAGAACTCCAAGGTCCCTCTCACAGTTACTGTTTTTGAGCCAGGTCTCATGTAATCTTACTTATATCTTTGATTTTTCCTATCTAAATGTAAAACTTTGCTTTTCTCCACATTAAAACTCATTTTGTTGGATAGGGACTATTGTTGCAGTTTGTCAAGATCTTTTTGAATCCTGAGCTTGTCTTCTGGGGTGTTGGCTATTCCTGCCAGTTTAGTGTCATCTGTAAATTTGATGAGTTCCCCTTCTATCCCCTCATTTAAGTCATTGATGAAGATATTGAAGAGACCCTTTTCAGAAACTGGTGGAGCTGAATATCAATGAATATGTGAACCAGAAGAAAAGAATCAATAATGAATACACTATTTTAATCAACTGCTGCGACAGCTTTTATTTTGTTGTTTTTAGTTGCGAAGTCATGTTTGACCCATCACGACCCCATGGACAACATTCTTCCAGGTCTTCCTGTCCTCTACCATCTTCTGGAGTCCATTTAAGTTCACACCTACTGCTTCAGTGACTCCATCCAGCCACCTCATTCTCTGTCGTCCCCTTCTTCTATTGCCCTCAATCTTTCCCAGCATTAGGCCCTTCTCCAGTGAGTCCTTCCTTCTCATTAGGTGGCCAAAGTATTTGAGTTTCAATTTCAGGATTTGGCCTTCTAAAGAGCAGTCAGGGTTGATCTCTTCTAGAACTGACCAGTTTGAACACCTTGCAGTCCAAGGGACTCACAGGAGTCTTCTCCAGCACCATAGTTCAAAGGCCTCAACTCTTTTGCGCTCAGCATTTCTTATGGTCCAACTTTCACAGCCATACATTGCAACTGGGAAAACCATGGCCTTGACTATATGCACTTTTGTTGGCAGGATGATGTCTCTGCTTTTTAGTATGCTGTCTAGATTTGCCATAGGAGCAAGCATTTTTTAATTTCTTGGCAGTGATCTTGGAGCCCAGGAAAATAAAATCTGTCACTACCTCCATTTCTTTCCCATCTATTTGCCAGGAATTGAGAGGGCCAGATGCCATGATCTTGGTTTTCTTAGTGTTGAGTTTCAAGCCAACTTTTTCACTCTCCTTCTTTACCCGCATCAAGAGGCTCTTTAGTTCCTCTTCACTTTCTGCCATCATAGTGGCATCATCTGCATATCTTAGATTGTTGATATTTCTCCCGGCAATTTTAATTCTAACTTTTGATTCATCCAGCCCTGCCTTTCTCATGATATGCTCTGCATATAAGTTAAATAGGCAGGGTAACAGTATACAGCATTGCTGGACTCCTTTCTCAATTTTGAACCAATCAGTGATTCTGTGTCCAGTTCTCACTGTTGCTTCTTGACCTCCATATAGGTTTCACAAGAGACAAATAAAATGGTCTGGTACTCCCATCTGTTTAAGAAGTTGCCACAATTTGTTGTGATCTACACAATCAAAGGCTTTAACATAGTCAATGAAGCAGAAGGAGATGTTTTTCTGGAACTCCCTAGCTTTCTCCATGATCAAGCGTAGGTTAGCAATTTGATTTCTAGTTCCTCTGCCTCTTCAAACTCCTGCCTGTACTTCTGGAAGTTCTCGAGCCACATACTGTTGGAGTCTAGCTTGTAGGATTTTAAGCATAACTTTATTAGCATGTGATATGGGTGCAATGGTGTGATAGTTTGAGCATTCTTTGGCATTGCCTTTCTTTGAAATTGGAATGTAAACTGACCTTTTCCAATCCTGTGGCCACTGCTGAGTTTTCCAAATTTGCTGGCAAATTGAGTGTAGCATTTTTACTGCATTGTCTTTTAAAATTTTGAATAGCTCATCTGGAATACTATTACCTCCACTAGCTTTGTTGTTGCACCGATTTCCTAAGGCCCATTTCACTTTATATTCTAGGATGTCTGATTCGAGGTCAGTGACAACCCATCATGGCTATCTGGGACATTAAGCTCATTCTTGTATAGTTCTTCTGTGTAGTTTTGCCACCTCTTCTTAATCTCTTCTGCCTCTGTTAGGTCCCTGCCATTTTGGTCATGCCCATCTTTGCATGAAACGTTCCCTTCATATCTCCAATTTTCTTGAAGAAATCTCTGGTCCTCCCTATTCTATTGTTTTCTTCTATTTCTTTGCACTGTTCATTCAAGAAGGCATTCTTATCTCTTCTAGCTATTCTCTGGAATTCTGCATTCAACTGGGTATCTTTCCCTTTCTCCCTTGCCTTTTGTTTCCCTTCTTTCCTCAGCTATTTGCAAGGAAAATAGTTTTAGTTGCTACCTCTTGTACAATGTTGTGAACCTCCGTCCATAGTTCTTCAGGCACTCTGTCTATCAGATCTATTTCCTTAAATTTATTTGTCATCTCTGCAGTATATTCATCAGAAATATGATTTAGTTCATACCTGAGTGGCCTAGTGTTTTTCCCTACTTTCTTCAATTTAAGCCTAAATTTTGCAACAAGAAGCTCATGATTGAGCTCCTGGTCTTGTTTTTACTGACTCTATAGAGCTTCTCCATCTTTGGCTGCAGAGCACATAGTCAGTCTGATTCTGTGTTGACTGTCTGATGAAGTCCATGTGTAGAGCCATCTCTTGGGTTGTTAAAAAAGAGTATTTGTTATGACCATCATATTATCTTGACAAAATTCTATCAACCTGTGCCCTGCTTCATTCCGTACTCCAAGGCCAAACTTGCCTGTTATCTTTTGGCTTCCTACTTTAGCATTCCAATCCCCCATGATGATAAGGATATCATTTTTTGGTGTTAATTCTATAAGGTGCTGTAGGGCTTCATAGAACCGTTCAATTTCATCCTCTTCAGCACCAGTGGTTGGGGCATAGACCTTGACCACTGTGATATTGAATGTTTGCCTTGGATTTGAACTTAGATCATTCTGTCATTTTGGGGATTGTATCCCAGTATTGCTTTTCCTACTTTTTTATTGACTATGAAGATACTCCATTTCTACTGAGGGATTCTTGCCCACAGTCATCTGAGTTAAATTCTCCCATTCCTATCCATTTTAGTTCACTGATTCCTAAGATGTCGATGTTCAGTCTTGTCATCTCTTGTTTGACCACATCCAGCTTGCCTTGATTCATGGATCTTACATTCCAGGTTCCTATGGAGAAAAGATCTTTACAGCATTGGACTTTCCTTTCACCACCAGATGCATCCACAGCTGAGCGTCCTTTTGGCTTTGGCCCAGTCACTTCACTCTTTATGGGACTACTAGTACTAGCTCTCTGCTGTTTCCCAGTAGCATATTGGATACCTTTCGACCTGAGGGGCTCATCTTCCAGCATCTTATCTTTTTGCCTTTATATACTGTCCATGGGGTTTTCATGGCAAAGATACTGGAGTGGGTTGCCATTTCCTTCTCCAATGGATCACATTTTGTCAGAACTCTCTTCTATGACCTATCCGTCTTGGGTGGCCCTGCATGGCATAGCTCATAGCTTCATTGAATTACACTAGCTCTTCACCACCATAAGGCAGTAATCCATGAAGGGGAACTTTTATTTATGTATTTATTTATTATTTTTTATATTTATAAACAGCAAACTCCCTAAAAGGGGCTATAAGAGATATATAATATAATATAATTGATAAATAAAACAAAGTGTGAAATTAGCATAAAAATTAAAATTAAGCTAGCATTAATTTTTTAAAAAATATATGGAATAATGACATTAATAAATTCAAAAGTATAAAAAACCACAAGATGGCCATTTAATATTGGTTATTATAACTGGGATGGA